TTAAATTTAAATAATTTCTATATGATTATATATATATATATACATATTTCAATAATCTTAGAGAATATAATTTTTGTAATAATTTCATCCTCAAATAAATATAAATATATTTTTTCAAAAAACTTACGAATTCATCCAAGTCAATCAAATAGTACATTGAATCTACAAAAGTTTTACATCTATCTACGTTCTATCTTTTTTATGTCAAAGAAAGCATGTCATGTACAAAATGTAGTTAAATAACAAAAGTGAAGAGTTGGTTATTCAACTTTTAAATTTATATCAATAAATCAAACCTATTTTATGAGATTTATTTTTTGCACTTTATTGCACAAAGTTTTTGAAATACATGTTCATATAGCATCCGTTTTTAAATCTATTAATTGGAAAAAGGAAGTGGTTTGAATTGATTAATCTTAGTTAATTGAATAATGATTAATTTAGCTAATTTATTTGTTAATATATACACAATATTATAGGGATTCATTTTTTAATAGTGATGAAAAAAATTGATAATTTTTATAGCAATTGTTTATAAAATTGTTACATTTTTGAGATTATAGCTTAACGTTTCAAATCATATACTTTCAATGTAAACAAAGTGTTTGTTTTCTTAATTTTTTTTAATTACAAATTTAAGTAGCATAATTCACAAAAATATTTTTTTAAAAATTGATAATAATATTTTCAGTTTTATATTATATTGGAATCATAATTATAATCAAAGTAGTAAAATATATATTATTTTATGATAACAATATCAAATAAGTGATAATGTAGATTGTAAGAAATGTAATTGATTCATATACTGTTTACATTCGTGCTTTTATGTAGATGTATTTCTTGATTAAAGTTTTTGTTTCTCCCAATTATTTCTATGTGAAATTCATTATCTAATTTGAGCTTTTCGAGAGCACAGTACATCGATGTTGAAAATTGTCTATAGGTACTGTAAGAAGTACAATGTGCTACATAATCCAGTAGCTTGTGCAGCGCTCTCTAAACTTCTTTGAACAGAGCAGAAGATTTATCTCTTATTTATTTGGTGGTGGCACGGAAGACGATGCGGGTGGCGCAGGGTCGACTGGTGTCTGTTGTGTCAGTCTCCTTCAACTATGATATTGTTGCCCTTGGACTGCAAAAGGCTTCATGATGGCTTCATCTGGAGGAGCAAATCCAGAATGTGAACTTCTCTCTATATCTTCGGAAGCTCCAAAATCCTGCAGCGGGTTTAGAAGCAAATGTCTCAATGTTATTTGCAAGCAGCGAGCAGTCGTGCTTAGCGTATTAGACACATAGACGCTGGAACGATGATAGAAAGACGAACTGACGAGTTTGGTATCAAACTCGTCAATCGTATTTGTGCTCAATTCATGTCTGTGTCAGTAAACCGCAAGAATTTCGATTTCACGTCTATGCTTGTGTCTGAACTGACACGCCATTGCAGGATCTACAAAAGAGCAAAGTAGGCGCATAAAAATCACTTTAGTCGAACGGGAACAAGATTCTCACCTTTGAATCGATAAATGAGTCACCTGGTTTTGTACCAAAATATCCTCAGTATCAATGACACAATCCAGTTCGGTCACACAACCTTCCGTCAGCTTAAAACTCACTTTTGTCTCTACATCTCACTGACTGTAAATTAAACAATGAAATTTGGCTCAAAGACGCAGCTCAACCTGCAGATGACTACAGAAGTTCAACTGAGTGATTAGATGCCGGAAGGTAGGCAAATCTGTGCCATAGAATGGAAGGCAGAAGATTGTTCAACAGTTTGTGGAGACGCACCCACGATGACGAGAAGGAGAAATAGCTCACAGACATAGAGTGGGATCGCGCCACATTTCATCATGTTGATATCGAACTTACGGCATGACATCAACATGAGATCATGCAAAAGATTTCCACAAAATCCTATGCACTGTTTTGGATGGCACCTGCTCACACTTTCTCTATGCTCAAATTGATTCAAGCCTCAACGACAACCAGTGTGCGTTTGAATGTTTGGTTGAGATCCAGGTACTTATGAGAAGATTAAATAGACCAAATCAAAGAAGTGTGGACCGACTTTGGGGTCTTCCCATCCTTCTAGTTAAATTTCTGAGCGCGTTTCCACCTTTGGGCCAACTGTGGTCAACCACACGGCATCCAAGTGGATTTGAACTAGTTGTCTGCTAGATCAGAATTTATATATGATATATGCCATTTTCAAAGGTTCCGACGTTGATTCACCTCTTTATCGCGTCAATTATTCGTCCTTGGGGTTATGATACCCTTGAATTTAGGTTACGCGAGTTGAATGTTGAGGCGTGGTGTTTCATGCACTACCGAAGATTGCTGTTTGCTTCGCAATAGTCAATTGCCTTTCCCCTTTTTCAGCACGCCCCGATGCTTCTGACATAGTCTTTTGTACTGTGGAGACATTTGCATACAAGAAACTAATCTGCATTATAAGGAGAGTTCGGAGTTGATCACTCAAGTTATTAATTATCATAATATACAAAATTTTGAAAGAAATATTCATAATTTTCAAATGATTATTTTTCATACAAAACAAAAATCATCCTAACATGTTTAGCTTAGAGTTGTATAAGACTACATCTTGACCAAAACATAATAGAATTATTTCATTTTTTATAATAAAATTGATGGTGGAATTGCAGTTATGCTCTTTAAAATCTGTAAAGTATTATTATATTTTCAAAAACTTTTTTAAATAATCATTTTGATAATAAATATTTCGGAATTTGTGATCTTTCAAGCACAACTTTTCATTTGTTTTCATGAACATTTATATCTATAATTAAGTTAGATTTATCAAAGTTGTCATACTTAGTATATCATCCATATAATATTTTAACATAATGAGAAAATTTTATATACATTTTTGAAAATAATTTTATTTTCATGAATTAGTCATATAGTATAGTTTATTTTTGAAATATTTTATAATTTACAAATTTATTCTTCAAATCAATCAATTTTGATATTTATCTGCAAAATCAACAGATCCTTTCATATAGATTTTATATTCAAAATTTATGTAAATATATATCTTATTGATATCAACTATAGTGACATTTCATGTCACAATCCATTCGTAAAATATGTTTATGATAAGAGGTTCCTCCACACTTACGATATTGATCTAATTTCTCTCACGGGTGCAAGTCCAACGGGCAGCCTGCTGCCATGGACTCGCACCAGTAGCCTGGGTATTGCACTAATTCGTTGGTGGCTCAATTGTCCTTCCTCCCACGAGATTTCCATATACTAGAAGCAGGAAGGTTTTGCAAATGGTAGAATCTTATGTCCTGGAATTAAGGTCAGACCTGCATCGTGTCTGCCCCAACCGACTGAGGAATGACTGATCCTACTGCATCCATGCAGCTTTGGCCTGAAGCCTTTGTTCGAGCCAGCAGCCTAGTCCAAAGTAGTGACCTGACCTGTTCACTCGTAACCTCAAGGTGCAAAGTACAGTACATAAGCTTGCTCAGGCGGTCTGATATGAAGATATGATCATTAGATCTGAGGACAAGCCCCTTCGAGTATTCCGAAGTTTTGACTAAAAAGGATGATCAGAAGCAAGTGGCTTGGTCTGCATGTCCACATATACGGCATTGAGTAAGCAGTGGCTTAGTTTTCTGTGCGGACTACGACCTTAGAATTCACTTCAGTCGTAGTCACACTGACTACTGTACTTCAAGGAACGTGTGTACGCCGTATAAGTTAGAATTGACTTTTGACGACGAAATATGCTTTGAGTCGACAAGAGATCTTTGAAAATGGCATCTGTCATCTATAACTTCTGGTCTAGCAGATAACTAGTTCAGATCCAGTTGGATGCCGTGTGGTTGACCACAGTTTGCTCAAGGTGGAAACGCGCTCAGAAATTTCTCTATAAGGATGGGATGACCCCAAAGTCGGTCCACACTCCTTTGATTTGGTTTATTTAATTTTCTCATAAATACCTGGAGGTCAACAAAACATCCAAATGTACACTGGGTGTCGTTGAGGCTTGAACCAGTTTAAGCATAGAGAAAGTGTGGCAGGTGCATCCTAAACCAGTGCAGAGGATTTTGTGGACATCTTTTTGTATGATCTCATGTTGACATCATTCCGTAAGTTCGATATCACCATGATGAAATTTAGCGCGATCCCAGTCTATGTCAAGAGAATCATCCTTGTCGAACTATTTCTCCTCCTCGTCATCGTGGGTGCGTCTCCACAAACTGTTGAACATTCTTCTGCCTTCCATTCAATAGCACACATTTGTCTACCTTCCGGCATCTAGTCACTCAGTTGAACGTCTGTAGCCATCTGCAGGTTGAGCTGCGTCTTTGAGCCAAAACTCATTGTTTTACTTACAGTTAGTGAGATGTAGAGACAAAATTGAGATTTAAGCTGACTGAAGGTTGTGGGATATGTTTTATATTTCTTATTTGGATAATTTTTTACGTGATATAAATAGACATTGATTTTAAGTTTTTGTTTAAAGTAGTAATAATTTTATACATTTAATAAATATAGTTAAAATGTAAACGTAAATTTATATTTAATGTATGTTTTTTTATGTTAATCAAGTTAGTTTATAACATTTGGATTGGATTGAAACAAAAACTAATATGTGTTATTTAAATGTGAAATTTATAGATATGAATTTATACATATAGCATTTATTTATTTTCGTTATGACGTGATCACTATACTTTAATTAATATATATATATATATATATGTAAGCAATTTTTAAATATCGGATAATAGTATTAAGTGTATAATTCAGTGTTTGCATGGAAAATGTAAATTTTCCATGAAAATTGTACAACTCAATCAAAGTACTTTGAAATTTTATTTCAACTTATCTTACTACTTGATAATATTGCGTCACAATGAATTTGTACATGTAGTACTGTACATAACTATCAAAACTTCCAAGTAAAGTTGGAACCTCAAGAAACAAAAAGCTGATTTTTCTAATTAGTCGAACTGAACCCCTAATGTAACAGCAAGATTTGAAAGGTCAAAATTCCTCGGTCAGAAACTCGTGAATGGGAGTAAAAGATTTAAAGAGTCTGTAATCTTGTGCATATCTAATGTATTCGAGATAAAGAATCGGTTTGATATGAAGGTTCTGCAGGTCATATTATCCATGATTCCTGTCCTGAGTTCTAGGCTGTGTGATACCATGATCAGGGGAATGAGACCCCTTTGATAGAACCTACATTCGAAAGGAATGTATCCAGTCACTTAAAAACTGCAACCACGAGCCCAGACATAGTTTGGCGGTCAGTGAATCACAGCACCGTGGTCGGCGGCATCGACTGTACGAGGGCAGGAGTGCGCGGACTGCGCAGTCAGTCAGTCAGTCAGTCAGTCAGTCACTCGTCAACGTCGTCTCTCTCAGAACTCGGGCGGCGTCTTCAGGAGCTACGGGGTTGATATGACAGTCGCTGCCGAGCTCGAAGCCGGCCAGCGTGATGAGATGCGGGACGATTCGCATGTACCAGTGGTAGTAGGGCAAATCGGTACAGTCCCGCAACGGAGCCGTGTGCAGCATGAAATTGAACGGCGGATGGTCGAAGGCCTCGTCCATCTTGAGCAGCGTGGTCTTGATCAGCTCCGCCAGTCCTTTGATCTGTCCCCCACGCAATGTCAGTCTCCCGACAATGGCCGCTAGAACGAATTCGTGAGCAAGGCATGAAAGGGATCGATTACGGTACCTCGTGAGCGGGGACGGTGCCGAAATTGGAGTTGTGGGAGCGCGGGATGAGCCAGGTCTCGTAAGGGAATCTGGGAGCATAAGGGCAGATGGTGATGGCGACTGGCGTCTCGTCGATCAACCGGTCCTTGTTGAGACATGTATCCTGGTAAAGAATGTCGCACAGAACGCATCTTTCATTGGCATCGAAATAACTTTTGGAGCCGGCGATGTCTTCCTCCATAGCCCGGGTGACGATGGGTAGAGCGATGATCTGACTGTGTGAATGAGACATCGACGCTCCGGCCGCATTGCCGTGATTTTTGAAAACCTGCTCTTCACACAAATTCAGAAACTCCTTCCGTCTTCCTTTCTTTCCGACGACCATATGATATGGCAATGGCGGGCGGACTTGCCTTGGAGGAAACAAATGACATGGTGGGGGCATGGCAGATGACACAATTTTTTTCGCATAGCCTGAAAGCAACGAAGAACTGCGGCGCTCGTTTCGATCGCCCTTCCTTTGGCGGCAAACAGAGGCTCGTGACCTCTGGAAAGTCTGAACAGAATGAGAACTGGGCGGCAGAAGATTGGAGTACCTGAACGAACTTGAATCGTGTGTCTTGCCGGAGGTGCTCGATGCGACTCTGGTAAGCTTTGAAAATCTCCTCGATTTGCGAGACGGGGAGCTGGGCAAACGTGGAATCGTGGTCCGGCGTTTCGATCACCACTTCGTGTGATCCGAACCCTGGCATTGTGCATCCCTCGAAGATTCCGCAGTCCGATTTACACAATCCATCGGAGGGCTCCATATCGACGGAGACGGCCGGGTACTTGTTCTCCACGACTCGCACCCTCCAGCACGGCCCGTCCGTCTTGTCGCCGTCTCGGAATGCCAGCGTCTCCGGACCCGTCTCATGCTCGTGAGTCGGGCAGAAGGCACACGGACCAGGCTGTATGCACGGCTTTGTCTCGGCGGTGAAGTCATGCGGTCTCTTGCCTCTGCGCGGCGAAATGATCACCCACCTGTTCACAATCATGTCCTTGCGCAGCTCGGACATTGTTCTTCGAAAGCCTTCTTCACAAATTTCCGAATTGAGCCGATTTCCCACGCTCTTCCTTCTTTCCTGCCTATATGACTGACTGAAGAGAGAGCTCCGATCTGCAGCTGCTGCGATTTCTCCGAATTCTCCCAACTGTCGTCTTTCCTGGCTCTACGAACAAGTGGATACAACAGAGCTTCGATCAGAAGATGGTGCGGATTTTGCCCCAGCCTCGCAGGTCTCGTCGTCGTCGTCGTCAGAGATTCGGGCTTTGTCGGAAGAACTTTCCGTGATTCTTCGGGAATCCAGCATCCCTGACTTGTCGGACTCAGAGCTTCTGACACGTGGTTGCGGAGGCTTCTTCGCCCACCAGTTGGCACATTCGTGCGAGCTCCATTGACTCGACGTCTTGCTGAGTTGCACTGACCACGTGGCGTCCACGTTCGCAAGACCCGGGAGCTTCTGCGGAATCATTTCATCGATCGCTTTGGGAACTCGGCACCCACAAGAGTGCGCTGTCCCGCCATTCCTCACGAGTCAGCATCCACGTGTGCGACCTTTTGGCTCGCAATTGGATGCTACCTTGGAATATATGGTCGACGCAAGTCGTCGACGGTTGTGGCCTCCAATTTGAGGCTTAACTTGGGCAGTTTGTAGCCTCCACAAAATTGACACCAGAGCAACTAATACACACCTCACACAAAAGAATGCCACTCGTTAACAACTTAGCGTAATTGCGGAGTTTAACAAGTAATATGATAGTAATATAATCATAGTAGTATTGTAGTATAATCTACAAGCGGGCAACCTGCAATCTCAGTTATGAGTATCCCAGTAAAACGAGCCTTGTGGAATTTGCGTACATGCAAATTTAAAATCACGACCTATTGGAGGAAATTACTTGGAACCCTTGGAAACTCAATCCGTCTTGAAGAGACCCATCAGGTTTCATTTTCTCCGATGGGACCCCATTCGACGGCCACCGTAAGCCATGTTCTTATAATCTACTGATTTGCTCTATAGAGTGGGGAGTGTTCGCCACTGTCGGGCCAGAGTATTTTCGCTACTAGTTCGCAGCCATGTCTACGAAAATGGCTCTAAGAAAATGACGGGCACCATGAGTATGAAATACTCCGGATATGGTCTTGCAGTGACTTCATGTTCTACTCGAAATAACCCTAGATAGTACTGGCACATTACTGTCGGTGGGGTCCCGTCCGGTAAAAATAAAACCTGTTGGTCCCGTTATGTGTTTTGAGTTTCACTGGGCCCATCAAGTAATTTTCTCCAACCTATTGCTAATTGACTGTGGCCTTGATGCATAAAGAACACTCTTTCCATTATGACTATTTTCCCATTTACGCCATAATAGACATGTACTTTGCTACTGTGTAACACCCTTTACAATTTGCTTATTACTGCGTAAACAGCATGAATCTCTCGGCCTGGGTTCCGAGTGCTTGCGCAACAGCTGGGGAGAAGACAACTGCATGTCTCTTCTAGAACGAATTCTTTCGAATTTAGTTTCGCTCTAACCTTCGAGTCTCAACCAAGAAACCCGTCACTACCTTTATCCCAAGTCATATCAGGTTTGAGTAACACACATTGCTCGACCTTCTCGCGTATGAAACATTTGACAAACTTCTTGTTAAGTTGAAATTTCATTTCTTGTTACCGGCGTGACTGCTGAAATAAGTCGCGAGGACAAAATACATCGGCGGAAGCTGACACCGCAGTCTTTTGAGGCTACCTTGAGACATGAATCTTTGTTTCTTTGTATCTGGTTGAATAGATAATCTACTAGCTACCAAACATGGTCTAGGAAAGAGTAAATGAGGAACCAACTACGGCCATCTTGCTGAAACACACTTTTCAGATGTGTTTCTCCTCGAGCAAGGTCCCAGCTGTCTACATGGCCTCCAAAGAATTTGTGAGTTGTTAAGGGAAACACCAATATCTAGAGTTGATGTCTTTCTCTCGTAAATGATGGAAGAGGTGCACCTTCTTGAGGCCGGAAAACAAGAAACATACCGGTCATGCCTAAAAGAGGCAAAGTCAGAAGCCACTTGAGAAGTCGATAGTAATGCATGTGAAAGGTCAATGCGAACTCATCCTGGAAGTATAGGGAATTTTTGTCAAGCATCTCCACCAGGACAGTTCCACCGGTACGTGTAGCAACACAGGGTAAAGTGGCTATGTAAAGTCCAGGGTTGTCGTGAGTATAGTTGTATGTAATCCTCTTTTCACCTCGATAATTTCCAGGAGTCATCAACGTGACCTGTGTAGCAGACAGCCAATTCATACGGTCAGGGTCGTCCATACACCAAGTAAGAAAGCCATCGAAGCACCAACCTCAAAAAAAAGTACTGTACCTTAACTTGGTAGGCCCCTTGGACCGCCCCATTCGGGCGATATTTATCTACAATCTCATAAGCTACATGGAAGCTGTCGCCGGCTTCGTCTCGAAATGCTCGCGATCGAGGCACAACAAAAATTCCCTCCCGCTGATGCCGACTCGCCAGTACATTCCTGCCTTGCGTCTGCGACGGCCATGCCTGCCACAAAATGGTCGAAGATTTCAAACCCCAAGTTCAGAAGTTATCCGGCAGTTCGCAGATAGTATTCTAAAATAAAAGACACCATGAAACTACTATGGAGGACATACCAAACCAACCGGAAAGTGCAATCGTAAAGAGAACGGCCGTGGCCAGCAACTGAAATATCACTACAAGGATGATCTGACTATGATCACTTACAATCTCTGAAAATGCAAGAACACAATCAACACAGAATCGAGCAAAGTCCCTTCGGCGTAGACCAAGTACGACTGAGGAACTTGGCAAGACCATTTCCGGATGTTCCATGTGGAGATTTTGAGAATAAACAGTAAGCTAAGCTAATCTAAGCTAGCATCGAAGTTCTTTACAGCAAGGGTTTCTTGCTGAATACTCCTTAAAATTGAACAAACCTTGAGTGGGTGGTGAGGAGCCGGAGTCTGAAAACAGTACACATTTCCGTTCATTGTAGTAACTATCAAGTCCAGGTCGTCACCACCATCCACATTATCTGCGAGTACCATGCTATAGCTGCAGACACCGCAGACGAAACATCAGGAGTCTAACCCTGCAGAGCATCAGAGTGTTCTTCGACGAATAGGTTCAGTCAAGTGAACACGAAAGAACACGTCTCAACCCCTTTCACTTGGTTAGAGGGACTCACGTTGTCTCCCCGATGTCAATCGCCTCCGCACAGCCCGTGGGACCATCAATCAGATAGAAATATCCATCGAAAGATCCAATGGCAATAGTCAGTCCTTTGCGCTCAGCACCCCGTTTGCTCAGATCGACCAAAAGTGCAGGGGACATCACGCGCCCGTGAGTGCGAAAAGGATACGGGCCAACATGTGAACCGTCTTGTCCTTTCAAAACGTAAATGCTTCCAGAGGTTGTTGGAACAACTATATCTGTGTGTCCATCACCGTCTACATCCCCCACTGTTGGACCCTATTTCAAACGTGATACGAAATTTCAGTATTTGCTGAACATCCCATCAAATTAAAGTGAAATCGGAAAGGAAAATAATGACCATCAACATGGAGCTGTGAAAAAGAAGCGATGTGATTATGTGTCGAACAATTACTGAAGCTAACTGGCAAAATGTCTAGCATGGGTACATATACCGCAGTCAGATTTGGAATCATTTCATTATCTAATCGAGGGAGAAACAAATATTTCGGCTTTGACTCCATATGATCTCTAACACACAAGAAGCGAAAGCCCGACAGGGAGGAGCATGTCTAAACTTTCTCATGACATTATAAGAACCGAAGTTGATGATTGACTACCTGAGATATGAGACTCTTCAAGTGAACTTCCCACAGCTCTTTCCCATCTCCATCCCAAACAGCTACCGTGCCCTTCGCATCAGCAGTGATAATTTCAATCTTACCGTCATCATTAACATCAGCAGCTACAACTTGACCTTGAATTTCACCCATCTGCAGAGGAAACCCCTTCCTCGAGGTTCCTGCCCAAAGAAACAAAAGAATGTCATCAGAGGATAGCTATGAAAAGAGAAACATTTCAAAGACCCGCTGATCTATATCTAGAGCTCTTGTCTGACCTTTAAAAGAAGCAAAGTTATCATCAATCGAAAACTCTGCTATGTGAGCAATTGAAGTGTGATGAAACTGAGATTGTAAAAAAAGCTTTTGCTGCTATCGCCATAGTAAGTAATACCAATCTCCCTGCTGTCACAGTTTTTTTGAAATAGTCAATCACAGTGAAAGTAGGAGTGCAGGATATAAAAACTGATGTCTATGTAAAACAACTCAAGGCTCGATGAAGTTACATGGTCTATTTCCAGCATTTGGACAAGTTGACAAGTCGGCACATTTGAAGTAGCTTTATACAACAAAAATTGCACCGTTCATGGATTTGATTATAGATTTCCCGTATACGAGTCGACACAAAAGTGAGTAATATAGCAGAATCGGTCACTAATCAGCTACTAACTCCTAAAGCAAAATCGTACAAAGAGTTAGTTGAACACTTAGACAGGTCCAAATACAGTGAGGCCTTGAGCGTTGAAATTTGGTGGCGTGCACGATATTGATCTGACCGTCTGGATAACGAAATCGTAAAAACGCAGATCATGGAGAATGCTAAAAAGCATATATAAGCGCTTCCATATATTTATTCGAGTCTTGTGACAAGAGACGATAGTAAAAAGTACGTACCATTAGCATTAAGGACATATACAAAACCCATCGACGTGCCAACAATAATCTCCAGCTGTCCGTCGCCATCAAGATCCACTACGCTTGGAGCAGAGTATATATAGGCGCGATAAGTTGTAGAATCAACACTCAAGTCAAGATAAGTATCCCACTTGACTTGTTTCGTTTCAAGGTTAAAGACGACGATGGCCCCAGCAACATACTTCCCTAAATCCAGATCCCCAAGCTCCTTCGCGTGTTCTGGCATTTCGTAGTACCTGCCAAACATATTATCTCTTGGTCACGACTCATATTCTTGCGTAGGCCAGGATGAAGTTTATACTCGCTGGCTACTGACAACCAGAAAGCCATCGTTTTATTATCTCTAATGCGAGCTGAAAAAATCAAACACAATTTCCATAACCTTTCCACATGACGAGGGGATATTCCTCCTTGGATGAATCTGAATTTTATCCTGGCACTTGACTATGCTCGCACCGTAACATAAAGGACAAGACTTACTCACGATCGTAGAAGTAAGATGCGGCAACAACCATCTCGTCAACTCCATCATTATCGATATCAGCAATTACCTGCAGTAATTAAGACGATGCTTGAGCTTCAACGTATGCAAGTATTTGTGAAAGACATTAGAGTAATCAACAGGAAAATGAGGCCTCAAGGTTCGACATTCGTTACCGGAGTACAGAGGATGTGTGCATCAACTTGGACAAAGTCTTCAATTTTCTCATGAGCACCTTCGTCCCACTCATTGTTGTCCCACATGCCTTCATTAACGTAATCATCATAGTCATAGTCATACTCCTCTGTCAGACCATCTTCGCCATTTTCATCCTCTTCCCTAAATACGTCAAAGGAAGCTTTTGCTTCTTCTTCCATCGCGTCTTGATCTTCTTCTGCCGTTGCAACATCGTCTTGGTTGGTTTTATTTTCAACATCATCTTTCTCGCTATCATCTTTGGTTTCTTGTTGCAACCGGCGACGAGTATTTGCCTTCGGCTCCTGCTTCTCTGCTCCAGCTTTCGCCGCGAGTAGATCTATGCCTCCAGTTGACAAACCATCTTGAGAAACAGTGGAGTCAACCTTCAATTTGGTTGTATCTGGAAAGAATGAAAATGTTACTACACGCAATTTCCAGCACACAGACCAAACAAGAGTAACATCACAGCAATGCCTTGGTTAACATTTCTCTTATACCATGTTCAGTTCCACTTGTTGTATGGTTCGTTGTATCGAGAGGAGAGTCTGAACCCTTGGTATCTCCAGTGATATTTTCAACGTGGTTAAGGGCATCTGCACCGTTGACAGTTGTATTGAGAGAAGAGTCTGAACCCTTGGTCCCTGTAGTTTTGTCGTCAACGTGGTCACCAGCACCTGAAACATTCACGCTTTAGCTGCCACGACAACTGAGGACTGACGAAACTCAACTCGACTGATATCAGTATACAACGAAATGATAAACTAACCATTCATCATATCATGATGATCCTCGTCTGTTTCATCCACAAGTTTACCACCGTGTGACACATGCACCTCGCTACCATTCAAGGACAGATCTGCACATCCAGTCAAAAACAAGAACGCCCATGAGAGAAATCTTCTACATGGAGGTGTACAGTTAGAATAACATGTAATCAACGGCAAGACCTTAACAAGCAAGTAGACAAAAAGTGCACAGACCCGAGAGATATACAACCATAGAAAGTCCACCTAAGGCCTAGCCCGATGCATTGGCATTATCATGCAATCAAGAACGAACCGGATGCATGTCAGAGAATGAACCGCATAGCATTCAATCTGAAGAAGGCTGAATCCAAGGCACGAAAAGACTTTTCAGACATAAGTTGTAAGTGCAGAAAGGGGGAAGCAGGTAGCAACAGTCCATGTGATAAAGTTCACGAATAAGAGATACGACATAATTTGAAGAACAAACGAATGCATAGGCAGTGACAGAACAATGAACGGTATGGCTCCTCGAATCCGATGCGAAAAGAGGAAACAAGAAGCATCAACAGTATCTACCGAACGGGAATTACTCCATCGTCATAAGATCCCGGCTGCTTCATCAGTGGGTACCGTAGTGCATAGATGTAATTTAGAGGTGTACAAATAAAGAGCATAACGAAATGTACTGGGTGCAAAAAACTGTGAACTAATTTGGCCACAGAAGATCTATAACAACTGATTCCATAGAGCGGTATCTGAACCATCGAGAAACAACTAACTTCAGTAACAGCTGAGTCCTTGACCACAAAGGATAAAAAGACAATTGTAAAGCTAAATTACCTCAATCTAAAATAACTGGGACTGAACATGACTTGCAAGTAGGAGACGAGCAAGAGGAAAGATCACTGTAGACTATGAGATAACGACTTACCATGATGGTTCAAGTATTCGTCACCATGAACGTCTGGATGAGAACGATCGACATGATCGGGATCAAGTCCTACATACCAATCTTTCCGGACTTTCCGTCGAGGCACGACCAGCTTCTCAGTCAGCATGTAACCACCAAACCTTCACATGATAGGAGCAAATTTAACATTGTAATCCAAAAAAGTTCCATCGCTTTTTTTAAGCTACGGTGAAACAAATTCACATTCATATCATTACCCAGACCCTCCGATTCAACTTCCAACAAGAATGTAGGTTCCGACTAATTCAACGAGTTGGTCAACATCAACAACAACCTGTATCTGAGTCTACAAAAGTATTCCAAAGATGGCATTGGACAGAGGATGAAGCATAACCTGAAGAACAAAACTTCCCCGTTGAATGTAGCAAGGGCAATTTCTTTGTTGCCATCCTTGTCAATATCATACGCCAGTGCACTGGCATGAACAGTGGACTGATGAAATGCCGGCCACCCTGCATAAATTGACCGAAAGTCATCCACCAAGAACCTATGGAGCATCCTGTACATCATGTGTGCTGAATGTTCGACCCGAGATTGCTTTCACGTTCGCAATTGCGAGTAGACAGTAAGGAGTGTAGAACCTGGTAACTGTTTCTAGGATATCTCTCTTAAGGAACCATTGACATGCGGCGTACGAAATTTGAAGAAACAAACATAGGGTGTTGTAAGGGAAGTGGAAGAAGTTTCCACGTGCCGTATAAATAAGATACACGAAGAATATTGCATTGCAGAAGAAAAGGGTTTTAGCAGAAAGGTTGTATACATGTTCAATAAGTTTTTACTTAGGTTAAGAGTGGCAGGGGATTGACTCAAAAAAAACAAAGTTTGGAAGGCAGAAGGTGACGACTGAAATCACTTGATCAACCGCAAGGGTTTAGCACGCAAGGAAACCAAAGAACACAGACCGGGAAGGTAAACCCAGGTACGGACTCTATCTAACGCATCACCACATGCATCGGAAATTCTAAGCCACGAAGTCAGGCATTCATTTAATATCCAGAGCGGAAGTTGGGGGAACGGGAAAGCAGGAAACAGCAGATACATGGGGGGAAGACTTGCAGATTTAAGAGATGAAGTCAACAGATTCGAAGGACAGATATTCATAGAGTATCCATAACGGAATCTTGCAGATGAGGGCAAGCAGGCATCGGCAATTATGGGCAGTACACGTGTAAAGAGGCAGAAAACGAAACAAGAGAAAAAGTTAGAAGTAAGCGAGTGTACATGCATATCACATACTGCGGTGTGTAGTAATGTAGAAGGGAACAATAAGTTTCTCGCCAAGAAACAAGATTACTACATCACTTTCTTACATAAGTAAAGACAACGGAACGGAACTACTAAAGTTAAGGCGGAGCTGGAGAGTCTGAAAAACCGGTATCAGAACAAAGACAACACGACGTGTACAATAATGTAGCGCATCCCAGATAGAAGAAGAAGTAAGTTTGGCACTGTCCACAAAGATTCTGGACTCAGTTTGGGCTGAAGCAGACTGAGCACCATATGCATGATCGAGGTCAAAAATTCCCACACGACACTGACTTTCGTCGAATTCTTGAAGTTCCTTTGATTACTACACGGCTATATCATTGTCTGTCAAATCTTGTACTCAAGCCAGCTGATGAACGCATCCACATCTCCGACTAGAACCTGGATAAACGTTTCTAGGGCCCACCAACCTGATAATTTTTCACCGTCTGCACCATCTAACACCTCCAAATAATGTACAAATGTGGGGACGACAATCTCCAGTTTACCATCCCTACAACCACCCCAAATATAGCGAAAGTAGTTGTCGGGCTTTAGTTTGTACAAACAAAAACTCTGAACTGCAAGGAGAGAGAACAGTAGACAATGACATCGAGCGAAAGAACAGAATTGCTGACTGACACCGGCGACATGACTGGACAATGACACTTCAGGTCCTCTTCATGCTAAAGTGATCAACCTGTACATTCTTACATCAAAATGACGAATAGGTGGTGAGAGGTACCCATTGATGTCAGAAATGAGAGGAGTGGCGTAGATGCTGGAGCTGACCTCTGTCTGCCATCTCAATTCCACATGTTGAGGGCATTGGGTATTTGCCAATGCTTCCTCGTCTCTTCATAAATTTATCCACACAGATTTCCAGCATGACGAGAATTCTTCAGCTCGCAAGTTTCAATTACCCTATCGAATCATGGCTATGAGCCTACCTGAACTTAAATAGCACTATATATATATATATATATATTTAAAAATTAAAAATATCATATCATTCACATGGATAAAGATTCAGAAACGAATTTCGTAAAAACAGAGTACAAACAACTCACAAATGTGGAACGGGAAGAGAATCGTCGGACGCTTCTCGGGTTAAGAATTTGTTTCCCTCGGCAGCTTCTTTCATGTTGTCATCATGAGCCACGGGCTTCGACAACTGCGCTTCCGATCTTTCACAAAACAGCACGACGAAGCACAGCAAGAAGAAGCTAGCGGAAACTCTCATCTTCGGCCACATGACCGAATCGTCCTCCTCCTTCCGGAACCGACCCATCGGAGACTCTCGTCGATCCCTCCTCCTTCTAGCGCCGATCTTGAACCGGCATTTCCCCACTCGCTTCAATTGCCTTTTTCACCACAACGAGGCGAACCAGGAAAACGTCCACATCGCCGAATCAAAAAGATGCACTGAGCCTGCAAAGTCCGTGGACTGTGGGCACGCACATCTCCATTCCATCGACTAAGCCCACTCAAAGCCCTCGTCCATCGCCAGGTCCCTCCGGCTGCGTCCGGCAGGCCGGCACTCGCATTGTCTCGTCTCGTCTCGTCTCGTGCCGTCTCTCCTGCCGCAGTCCTTCCTCACTCGCGACTACGTGGACTTGAGTGGATCCTTGCCATGACGACTTACATGGTACGAATGAAGGAATTATCGTCTTCACTCCATTTACGTGGTTTTCAGTTACATGGTACGCGACTACATTTAAGCAATGCTATATCTTCACATCGTGTTCTCATTATCTCATCGGGTCAACCCCTAGTTTTATTCAATTTTCTTTATACGGTTTCATGATGTGTTTCCATAGATTTTCAATCTCCATCTTTTTTATATCGTGTATTACATAAGTTTTATCAAGATTCTATGGGGATAACATCTGGTTTATTTTAGTGTTTTTCCTTGTACTAAAGGGTTATAGTATTTTCTTTTTATGATTTTTGGTATCCACCTGACACTTTTTACTTGTTGACATCGAGATATTCTGCACGTTGCCCCGCATTCATAGAGGCCAAGACTCAAAAGAGATTTTGGTGGTAATGACGTACACGATTGATACGTGTGACATGCTAAGCTTTTGGTTAACAAACGAACATGTAATAACGACGGTAATAAGCTTCTGGAAATGGTTCTAAATCTTACAAGAGAAATTCTACGGTAATCTCAAATAAATAAAAAGAAAAGCGTTTGAAAAATTAAGTGATGTATCCTGCGAACACTGGTCATCACATCCACCGTTGTGTATTGTTAGAAAAAATTAAATAAGTAAAAAAGATAAAATGAACTCAGTGCGCCAAATCCGGACTGGAAATAATGTTGAAGAGCATATGAGAGGAATATTAAAACCTATGATGATGAAACCTAGCATTGAAATATGTGGTGAGTAAAATATCACACCACGAATAATGCTAGCACTACAAAGTGTGACTTAGTGCAGTTAAACTTACCTGAAAAGTATGGTATTCAAGAATTGTGTCACTGCACAAAAGTCGGATACTCAAGTTGTAGATACGAGAGCTTGCGTAGAATGTTCCATGTCATTTGCCGCAAGACTCATCTGTGCTGGTAGTAGATTGCTCGGTTTTCATATTAGCACTTAGTGTCTACGAGGAAGCAATTTTAAGCGTTTGAACAATGAGCTGTTCAAACAAAGGGGATTGAGTGGTGGGAGCACTACTCTCGACACAAATGTTTGAACAAAATACCGTCGTGTTTGCATGGATCTAGTGGTGGGTGAACTACTTTTGACGCGCTAGGATAATTTTCAACGTGTAAATTATAGGGCCACACTTGTTTTTGCTAACGCCACACCCGCCCGCTAATTACCATGCCCATGCCCGCTTTTGCTACTGCCCATGCTACTGCCCAAGCGACGGCCGCAGCGGCCCCGCGCCCCTCGAAGCCTCTCGACTACGCTCTACTCTCGATGAGGTTGGCTTAGCAGCTGGGTTTGAGGGGAGTCGTGCTTTGACGCGCAATCAGTTGTTTATATGTAGCGGGTGTGGCCTTAGTCTAACACTAAATTATAACGTTTCAGCATTTACAATAAATAGCAGGTTAATATGATTTTGTTGACAATCAAATATATTTTTTGCATTTCATAATGCTAAATGTGCTTGTACAAATTCTTTATTTTATGGTGTAGGCTTGCTTGCATTCAATTTCATATTATTATTATATAATAATCTTTGATCTCATGTAACAATTGTTATAAATATTTCTATTGTCAGAATTCTTTTAAAATTTTACTTCTAAATTTACTGAATTTAATGTTATTTAAGTGAAAAACTCAGTCATACATTTTTAGATACTATATTATATTAGAAGTGTGTTGATTTTTTATAAAAATGTTATCATCTTTTACATATGAAAAGACATATCTATATATTAATCATCTTTTAGATATAAAAGATAATTTCATAATCTACTCTAGTTAAACAAGTGTCTTCACTTATGTAGCTTACTACGCTCATACGTTGATGTACAACTTCTAATTGGTGGTTGGACTAGTCTTTGTATCATATGTGTTAACAGCACTCATAGCGCCAGATTGAAACCTGGGCTTTAAGGTCGATAATATATTATGATTCATTACTACAAGGTACTTTTTCAAATTAAAATTTGAGAACACGGATGTGATGAACATCACTTAATGCACAAACGTAAAAAAATTTCAACACAATGCGGGGTTGATCCAACTGTAATGTTTCTGATTCAAGTATATTCTAGCCATTTTAGTTCAATAATTTGTTTAAAAATTTTTTGAAACCTGAGAATGGAAATTCTTCTGAAATTTTTGAGTTTAAAGAAAACTGAATATATTTTGATGAGTTTTGATCGATGATATATAGAAATTTTAAAGGATTAATGTGTAAGTTGTTGATCAGAAATAAGATCATTCTAAATATCCAAAATTATATTATATATAATTTTACGAAATTTATTATTGTTTCCAATTGACTGCTTGAATTGTTCATTGAGAATTGAAAGTTGATGATAGTCTACTGATCAAGTGGATCACGTTTAATAATGATTCTGATACTTAAATTAAATGAGTATTTATTTAAGATATATACTTATAGATTAGAAAGAATGATTGACGAAAAGATTGAAAAGTTCAAGATCTGTCGATTATACGTTTTGGAATAATACATTAGTAAAAACATGTTACAGAAATATCATGTGATAACCATTTTGATTTACAATTTATTGGAACTTTATAGATATGATTTCTACATCCCATCAAAACTTCATCAACGAACTTGATTATATATGGGATGTAGATATCATAAGCAAGTTCGTAAGGACTTGTCCCTCTCTTCAACTCAAATGAGAATTTCCTCACTACTAACGACAATATCAGGCTCGTTCTTATGTAAGCCTTATGTATGGATAAGTAGCTCACTCAGAAAAAAAATAATTTGGCCAAATTTCTTTGAAATATTTACCTCGAGCATTTCTGATTCAAACTGGAGTCCAATGTCATCTTGCTGCTTCAGAACTTTGCTGCGACTTAGTGTGAGTACTGTACTGTATTCTCTATGTTCAACACCATGAAACTGATTCAAACGCTTAAGGCCATTAGGTGGTAGATAGTAATCTGATCAGATCAGGCGAGGGCGAGTTGACCCCAATATATGCGCCGACAGTGCATTTAGGGACATTCCAACTTGAATCATTCACTCCAGTGGTCCTCATGCCAAAGCTGGGTTCTTCACCGAGTCATGGCCTAATTAGTATTGTGTATACTATTTCATGTTAAAATATTGCACTGCTTCCGTTCTTCGGCCTCAGGTACCGAATAAGCGCTTGCATAATTAGCATAAAAGCAAAAAGACTATGCAAATGACGTGATCGGAATAATGTGGCAGACCTGTAAGAACTACTCTTTGTTTGGATTCATAAAGAGTGCATGCATGCATATATGATTCAACCGTTGAAAAGCGAATAATATTTTATGCAGAACTGTAAATGAAAGAGGCTACAGTTAATAAATGTAGAAAAGTGAAGGAGGTAAAGTAATGTTGGTGCAAGAGTGTCCAATCTTTAAAAGTCTCATGATGGAATGTGAGAAGTCACTTAACATGTTGACGTATGACACATTCCTTAGGCCTAATGAGGTACTGATTGAGCTAGGGATTGATTTTGGGGGTCTTTTACTTTGTTTGTGGGTTTTCACTTGTATTGTGTTTTTCAGTTTTTGACCCTTTGGGTCCTCGTGCTTGATCTATTACCATTTAACATTTACTCAATTCTAGATCCCAATAGTCAAAACTCCCATAATTTACATCCTCTTAACACTGACAGAAAGTTGAATAACCATTGTTCTACAATATCGGATTTTATTTTATGATTATATGAGTTACTAATGAAATACCAATGGGGTTATATAGGGATTCTTAATTAGTAAGATATATGAATATACTTAACTTTGTCCTAAAAGGAGAAAAAAATCTCCAACTTGGAAGATGAAGACACAATTGAATATCTCAAATGCTTTTGAATGCAAATTATATACAGAAAAGTAATTTGAGTCAAACTAAACTTGTCTTACTTAGTTTGATATATATAATTTATATCAAAAGCATTCATTTTATCACATGCTTCATATCTTTTTGCAAGATTAGATGAGAGCACGTTATTACTTTTCCAATTCATAAAATTAAAGATGCAATTGAGAACTAGTATATTTTGTTAGTAAAGCATTTGAAACATGATAGCCACTTACACGTATTAACTGTCATGAGACAATGTTAGTTATTAAATATCGTATACTTATCAGACTAATGGTGTTTAAGCAATGAGAAGTCTTATAATACTTAACAAATGGTATTTGATACGAAATCATTACATACCATTGTCAAGTCATATTTTTTTTTTTCCTTTAGATTTAGATAAGTCATCTTGAAAAAGAAACCTTGATCAATACTCTAATCCGAGAAGACTTTTTGTTTGAAGACAAGGACAGTTGAGTTTAAAGTCATGAAAGATAGGCGTTGTTTTGTAACAACGTTTATCTTTCATGACTTTAAACTCAACTGAAAGATAGGCGCCTATGATGTGAACACCCATGATGGGTGTTCACATCATAGGCGTTTTGTTATTTTATTGCGTATGACTTTTATGTTGTATGTCTTGGGGCTATGATATGCTAAAACTTATTTGAGGATGAACAATACTATATATATATATATATTCCATATCTCAACCAGGTTACAACATGAAGATATGGAATATAGATGAGTTTAATCCATGAAGGGTCAAGCACAAAGAATAGAGAACTGCAATAACCATGTGAATACCCTCGTCACAGGTCCATAACACTTTAACTCCGCATTATGAACACGCAAAAATTATTCCAAACAATCATGGCAATCATGTCCAGTAAAAGTAACTCGGTACTATATATCTCCAAATTCTCGAATCGTCCACAAGTCTTAAACACCGCAAGTGTACAGCAGTGTTTTAGCCACCTTGGTAAAGATTAAGGGGTCACCTGCTTGGAATGTCCAGTGAAGGTCAGATTAAGGGCCGAGATCCGTCATTTTCCAAGAGCCTAATTAATTAACCTTCCGGGGCTTTGACAAGGCTCTGACAAAGCGACATGAGCATGGTCACAAAGAAGAGAAAGTGGACGGAGGAAACTCGAATGGCGTCGAATCCCGTCGCGGACTAAAGTAAAGGAAAGTAAAGGAAGCTGGAATCTGGAAGCTGGGTTCCGGAATCTTGGATGGGCTGGCGGCAGTGGGGGACGAACATTCGACGGAGGAAGCGAAGAAAGTCGCTCAAAGATTCGTCGGTCGATTGGAGAAATGTGAATGTGGGCGCTGCTGCAACTTGTCATCACCATCCATGCTCGACGAACATCGCGAGTCCATGCGTGCACAGGAGAGTCGGTAATATGGATGAGTTGCCGGCCGCAGAAGGAAGCGATCGAGTGCCGTGGTAGGACTGCCGGGTTGATGGAGTGATTCGCGAGGCGAGGGAGGAAGGGAGTCGGTCGGTGGGATCGATCGCAGAGCGCGCGGAGCAATGCCATTGGACATTCGGGAATGGAGTGACAATCCGACGATTCTCCGCCTCGGAGTCTCCGGCATTTGGCATTCGGCATTCGGCATCCTCTTTCCTTCCGCCATGGAGTTGAGTGGAGGGCTCCCAGACCGGAACAGTTCCAGCCCTGCTTTCTGCTAGGACGGCCAGGTGGTGCTCGAGACGCGCAGCCAAATATCTGCCGTTTTGGCGGGGATCGTGAATCGATGACAGATTTTGCGCTACAGGATTTGGAGCTCATCACGGACGAATAATTCTGTGCATTGTACTGGATTGCGTGTGCTTCTTTTGGCCCTCGCGTTTCCGGGGAAGAGAGGAAAGGGCCTAGTCCCTGCAGGCCGCTCCGGGTTGATCGTGGATCAGGCGAAATTTCTCTAGCCGCGATGGTTCGCTTAATGGCGGATTCGATGTTACTCTGAGCCTAAAGGAGTACGGTGGAGTTGAAATTTTGCGTTGGTCGGGAAGGCCAGGACGAGAAAGTGAGCGAAGCTCGTTTTGATGATGGATCCAGCATCGTTTTCCTCGTCAATTCCTTGGAGTTCGTCCATGTGCATGTGGGTGAGGTTTTAGGGTACAAGGGCAAGGTAATGGGTGATGTTCATAAGCTGATTAAGTGTGTGGTGGTTGTGACACGTGTATCACGCTGTAGGTGGAGTTACCGTATACGAGGAGCAGCGAGCAGATTTTTAGGTGGTTTTGCGTTCATTCACAGTTGGGGAGTAATATGTACTTGGAACAATTGGGTAATGAATTTGGGAGTCGCTTTTTCAGCGGGCCGACTTGAATCATCTGTAGGCGATTTCTTTATTTCGAATGCTCGAAATTATTCGGTCTACTTTAAAAGCAGGAATTGGAAGTCAACAGCACACCCACCTCAATGGCTAGGACGATTTGAAAATAAGGAGGTGAAAGCTATGTTGGGCATGAAGTTGCAGTGCTCGCTTTTAACTTTCCTCTATCTTTAATTTTAGCACGGGATACTGCCTGCCGAAGTCATATGTCAGATCACGCAAATTTTAAACATGGGCATCTGAAGTCATCATCAATGAAACTTATTCTTTTACCAGCGTCAGCTCTGGAATGTTTTGAAGGCAGTCGTGTGTAGGTTTTGGTGTTTTTTTCTCGGAGATGTTCTAAGTTTCAATATTCTCTACAGTTCAAGGTAGAGTAGATGCTTTGGAAAGAATAGCTTTCGCAAAATGTCAGCCCGAGGAATTGCCAGCAACGGAGGATCTCTAGGACCTCTTGTTCTGAACTCAATATCTGTGGAGGAGCGTGCTGCCAGAGCTACGTACGAAAAAGCTGAAGCTGAGAAACGGCTCCTTGAGGCTGAGGTTCGGTTACGAGAAGCCATTGCAGAACTTCACAAGAACCAAAAGAAGAAGGCTACGTACAGTACGCTATTCAGCGGGAGACATCCCCTTTGCCAGCATGGCGATTCGTGCGTGGCGAATTCTGTGGGAAGTCTCTGTCAAAGCTTCATGCTGGCCTATGGTGTGCGAGTCGGAATAGGAGTTCTTCTGAGGGCCTTCAAGCTAGCCAGAAAGCGGCCATACTATTCGTTTTTGGACTTGAAGGTACGTATGCACTTGAGTTATATTGAGTGTTCTTCGTTCTTCTCTCCACGGCATTCGCTCGGTCATGCCTAGCAGCCTCCAGATTTCAAAAGTGAGCTAACTTCCTGTAACTTATTCCTCGTTTATTCCTGTTCAGAGAAAGCATTTGCGAGCATCAGTATGTTTATAGTAGACACACGGATGACGAGCCCACTTGCCCCATTCATGAAACCATTGTCTAACGTAGTGATCATATGAACATGTTGGTTTCCTCGGAGGAGAGGGACATCCCTTGGCCACTATTTGATCAATATGACATGATTTACTTAGTTGGCGTGTTCTTCGTGTTGTATATTTGTTTTATCAAATCCCCCCGCTCACCACCACTACTCAAAATCATTCCTCCACTGCAAGCCTATTATAAGGCGTACGTGAGCTTATCCTGCCAGACTGTATGATATCACTCTGTTTGGCCCAGGCAATTGAAGTAGGTAGTAATTGTTGTCCAGGAGTATAATTACGATCAATATGGACTGGCAGAAGCTATTCGTTCGTCCCTGATGACACCTTCTGCTCTTAAAACCTTGTGCTCTTTGTCTTCATGATCCGACAAAGAAGTTTCTGACTACTCTTTACAAAATTCGGAGTAGAGAAGAGTCTTCCATGCAATGGCTATATGTGTAATTCGCTTGTAAATTATGAGAGAACTTTTGTGGTTGGAAGTACGGATGATCATTGTCAAGAGCCTTATTTGTGTCTGATGGGCTCCTGTTATAAGTAATTTAAATTCTTTTTCAATAATTTGCATGGGACCTTGTGTATCTGAGCATGTACTGTATGATGTTTCAGCTTCTTTTGGGCGAGAACAATTTGATCGTCCGGGAAGAGGCTTGTCGCACAGGCTTACTTTTTGGTGGCTTTACTGGCTGTTTTCATGCAATCCGATGCTTTCTGCGGAGGAAAAGTGGAACGGACTCTCCTCTGAACGTGTGAGAATCAAATGCCTTACGTCAACCTCTGGAGCTAATTCTGAGTATAAGGTCAATATTAGTTGTTAACCTCAATACCCAGTGAACGAAACTTATGATTATTTTTTTCTATTTGCAGGTTTTTGGCAGGTGGAGTAGCAGGATTATCTATCCTTGCATTGGATGACTCTCAAAGAAGACGCACCTTCGCTCTCTATCTTCTGGCTAGAGTTGCCCAGGTACTATTCCTCGTTGTGGGCTAGATATTATGACAGTGTGAAGGTCGGCCTTGTATTTGTGTAGCAGCGGATACCGTATATGAATGTACGGGGAAAAGAATGTCGTCTCGTTCTAAAGAGTAAGTCACTGACCTCGAATATCTTCTTTGTTTACTGCAGTGTGCCTACAACTCAGCCAAGGCCAAAAACAAGTTCCACTTTTGGGGCAGTCAGTGGCAACATGGAGACACCTTACTGTTTGCTTTGGCCTGTGCTCAGGTTCGCCAAGTAGATGAGTGCTTGTCATTTCTGATTGATGAGTAATTTTTTGTACAGTGATTCGAATGTAGCATAGTGTTAACATTTTGTCTTGAAGGGAAAGCTATACACATGTAAAGTGACGTATGTTGGTACGGGGATTTTGGAAAAGCTAATGCGTGGAAGCCATTCTGATTGTTGGCGGACTCAGTTTTACAGCATTTTAATCTGCTTCCCGTTGCCACTTGTACAGATCATGTATGCGTATGTAATGCGGCCAGAGACCTTGCCAGATTCTTATAACGAGTTCATTGTGAAAACTGGACCTATAGCAAGGCCCGTCTTGAAAGCAGTACGTGAGAGCTGCAGGGGTGGGGGCATAGACGTTGCCTCTCTCGCAGCATTTGTGACCAGTAAGACTGGATTGCCTATGTTCGGAGTGCATGCCCATTCTCCAATTATACCTTGCTCAGCCGTGCACCCTGACACGGCTTCCTGCCTTGCACATAACACCAGAGCAACACGGGCAACATTCAAGAAAACTTTTCCGCTTTATTTGTCACTCACTTTTGTGCCCTTCGTCGTCCTGAACATTCAGAAGGTACACCCGGAAGATTGGATGTTCTTTCTTTCTTGCATGCAAAGTGTGTGCCGCTACTCTCGAATTTCAGTAGTCGTCCACAGATTTGACTTCAAGTGGTCAGTTGCGCCTATGGCCGTATTCAACACCACATACTTTCTGATTTGTTCAATGTAAGTATGGATGGTCTAGATCAATTTCATTAGCTCTTTATGTATGAATGTTCGAATCTGAATTGTTTTGATGATGCAGTTCATGGAAGCCCCGATACATACTTTTTGGAATGCTCTAAAAAGTGCTGTACGTTCAACAAGTTTCTTGTCTGCCTTTGTGGGCGTCTATCAGGTATGTCGATTATTGAAGAAATAATTTTTTCTACGTGGCGGTCAGTGTTTTAGCAGGAAACGCGTGTCTTCCACATCTCTTCGGAGTCATATTCGTGGACTAAGAAAAAGGTCTTTGGTGTTTTGATAACAGGGCGTCATCTGTGTCCAAAGAAAACTTGTTACAAAGGATCATAAAAGTGTCTATTTCTTTGCTGGAGCTATAGCTGCGTTGTCAGCTCTATTGGAAAAGAAGAGCCGACGTTCAGAACTTGCTCTCTACACACTTCCTCGTGCCGCAGATTCTCTTTGGTATACGTTGGTGAACCGGCACTTGCTGCCAGACCTTAAGCATGCTGAGGTAGTCGTCTCGACTTTTCTTGTCTGGCGCTCATATCGGTCCATCTCGCATTAGTATCCAACACGTTTTCCCGAACATGATAATGTTGTTCACCATGTTGGATGGAATTGTCCATGTCCTTCGACTTTGTGACTGACAACGGCCGACATTCATGAAGCTTTCGATGGTCTTTCACTCTCCTTCATATTCGTCCAAGCGTTTGCTGACTTAAATGTTTCCTCTTTTCCAGGTGGCTCTCTTTTGCCTCTGTATGGGCGGAGTAATGTACTACCATGAATATGAGCCAGATACAATGGCTCCATTCTTGAGAGGCCTGATCCGACGGTTTTTGAACAGGACTGGGACTCCAGATCAAACACTTGATTCTTCCTTAAGACATCAGCCATCTATAGCCGCAGAGGGTTCTCAAGAGAGTTCTACCCACCCTTCATCTCAATACTCGACGCACGATCATGGATCGTCAGCTCGCTCGCTAAGTCCCAAGAACGCTCAACCAGGTCCAGACCCGGCAGACGCTGCAGCGAAGCTGCAAGCAGAAGCTTTTGAAGGTCTCTAAATGAGTTTTCAATTCTATAGTTTTATGATTCCTTTGAGGTACAAGAGTGAACAAGAGCAGCGTATATCCGGATTTAGGTTTTAGGTTGGTCATCGAACAACGGTCAGGTTCCTGGAACGGGAAGGAAGTTATGTGTAGCGATTATCCGAATCGTTGCATGCAATACCCTAACTTGTCGAGTCATGGCAACTTGTACGTTCAGATGCAACTCACCCTTCATAACAGGATGAATGGGTAAGTGGAGGTGCTCTTACGAACTATATTAGATCGTATCCCTTTCCTTTTATGTGGTCAGGATTATCCACTTTGTCCTCACCTCCTGTGTCTTGAAAAGCGTAAGCTTCATTCTTTATAAACCTCCATAGCCCCGGAATTGGAAGGTAGTCGAAATGTTCTCCTCGAGACGAATATGACCCGACTCTCTTTGAGTGCAGAATGGATGGTTTTGTGTGCTCCAGCAACCTTTTTTCAAGTACCAGCTTTCAAGATATAATAGGAGTTGAGTGGCCAGTCAATAACGCAGTATGTCATGGTTGAGGCATTTTACAAGAAAGTAGATGTCAAATTTTGTGCATGTACCTTTTCCTCGTTGCTTGATGGGGAAGCTCTATTGACCATGGAACAGCACAATTATAGCGATGACATTTTGGTCGGTATTCTGCTAGCTGAATGAGAATTCGTTTAGTCTTGAAACTGAATAGCTAGGTTTCAGAGGACGTTTAGTGTGGTGTTATGTATCAAAGTGCCGTGGTTGACCGACTGGAAGTGCTGTACGGTCAATGAAGCCTTTTCTCAGTGGCTGCTCCCCTACTGTAGCTCAAAGAGCCAAATGGATGAGGACAACATTAGTCCTCTTGTGTCCACACCAACGCGTACTATCGTAACTTCATGAGTACATCTGAAAGCAAGTAGATTGTGCTGCAGTCTTTTACTTTACATTCTGCACTCAGAGAGCGTGTTCATACGCACTTTGCGTTTGCACACGCAATACTCGGAGAGTGCAGATGTCCAGGACACAATGTCAATCTTTAAACCTTTTTAACATTTTTAATTGAATTTCGCATGAAAGTAATCTAATTTCTTTAACCTTGTGAGAAGAGAAGTATGTGTGTAATTACCATGCAAACAGGTTCAGTCAGAGAAAAATCATATTGCTCGAACTCGCCTCCTCACAGTATACTACAGGGGTGGGGCGCCTATCCAGCGTGGACGTCCTGGCAGTAGAGTTAGAACGAGTAGTCTAAGAGCGTACTGTAGTAACGATAGACGGGCGCGTATTACTGTCACCCGTCGTTGTGGGATTTTTTCTGGTGAAGGGATTTCTGATGATGATGCAGCCAGCAATTTGGTTGCTGCACGCGTGCAACAACATTCTTTCGCTAGCGTGTTTCTGATGTCATTTTATTTCACTATTCGTCACCCACTTTCTTTGGCCAAGTGGAGGAATTGATGGAATCGATTTGGAGTGTTTTACTTGATGGGACCCATCAAAACGCATACAGGTTAATGGGATCTATCAAGACTAATTTTACGCCAAGGACGGCACACCTAAGTGTTCTAAACAAATCTCTTATAACTCTATGCTGCGGGCTATAGTGTGTGTGATGCTCCTGGGGAAAAAGAGAAACGCATACGCAGTCACTCATTCATTGTCTCGAATCTTGCACTGTGCTCGGGCATGTGTCCCCTTTTTCTGTTCGGAAGAATCACACACCAGATGACCTCATCGAACGCAGACCGGATCGATAGATCACGACGATGTCATGTCCGTTCGCTCGATCATACATTTATCAGTCGCCGATCGAGTTCGAGACCGGAGAACGAAGCGAGGATTAGACTTGCTTGGCGAGTAGACCTGCTCGCGTTTGACTACTCCTTGTGGATCGAGACGATAATTTCACCCTCACCCGCTGTTTTTACCCGCTATCGTAAAGCACTCAATTTCTGGAATTTCCGCGCATTTTTCCGATCGCTAGTCGGCGCGATTCACTTTGAGCGGAGAAAGTCATATCAGTTGTTATGAAGATTAGCTTCGAGGCATATGTCTATGAACGTTTCACTGTCTGTTGACTCTGTTGATTCCCAGAGAAGATATTGTCCTCGATAACCATCTCGCTTCGACACGTCTTTCTGGGGAGATCAGGGCAAAAGTTTTTACTATCGGAGAATCAGACTTCTTTCTACACAAAAAAGATCACATGTACAGCAGTTGATTGAGCTTACAAATTCACGGCACAGAATCTCAACTCTCCACCGAAGAGATTGCTCTGCTGTTGTTGTTCCTTCCTACTCCTGCCTCGTTGTCTGCCCTCTAAGTTAGAAATCACTATCCGCTGATATTAGAACTTGGTTACGGTGGGGCTTCGATGGGTACCATCGGGTAAAATGATATTTGATAAGTCCATTGAGGTTAATGTGTTTTGAAGGGTCCACCAAGTAAATACCTCATTCGATTTGTTATCTTGGCCCACTTTTGTTTTTCTCTGGGCCTTTTGAAACTATAGGTGCGTAACGCCTCTCATTGGCTAGAACATAGTCTAGAAAGTCTTGTAGCACACCTAGGGAGTAGTCAAAGTCTTGAAAATTTGTATTTAATCAGTGTATTTCAGAGTTTTTTTCCCCTATGGCATGACATCATCCTTTCCATAATCTACCATTTCTGTCTACCAAGTCCACGAAAAGAGCTTGCAGTCTGTTTGGCCACCCAACCTGAATTACAAGGATTTATATCTAAAGGCTCATACTAACTTTCTGGATTTTCTAACATGTAGTTCAAGGTCAAAACTTCAAATCATCATATGAGCTACTTATTCATCCTAGTGCATAGCTTATATGCATGTACTTTCCATAAATCGTTTTCAATTATTTTTTGAAAATAAATTCTTCCTTATAAAATATCATGAGGTATTAAATGCAACGCTGAATTTTAAAGTAATTTTAGATTCTACTTTTTGCATCTAAGTCACATGGAAAAAGTACATAACGATTTATGTATGCAACTAATAAGACTACATCATGTTTAAAATTCTTAAATAGTTGTGCGAAATATCAAAGTTTTGAAAACAAATTATAGAAAAAAATTGCAAATGATGTAATCAGTTAAATTATAAAACACACAAAATAATCAGATGATGATTATTTACACTACTTTACATTACCCATCTTTATACCACCTTGTTTTGAAAATGCTTGAAAATTTGAATGCGGGTTTTTTTTTTATAATTCTTTGAGTGAATTATTTACCCCAACGTTGTAATTTCTATTTTATCAACCGATGTATAAATTGTTATTGCAGGTTGCAAATTTTGAATGTTTATTTTTTCCGATTTCAAATATGAATATGTAATGTGAGATTAATACTCTTTCACTCACTAGCAACTTAATTACCATAATCTCTCTATTCTCTGCTCCACAAACTAATACTGTGACAAGGATATTTTGTTGCGATAAAGTTAGAAATGCATGTCACGAAATCTATCAATCAGTCAAAATGAAGAACTTTTATTTCATCCACTCTTTCTCTTCTTTCGCATTTTGATAGAATTTTTGTGATTATAAGGTTACCAAAAATGAAAATCAAGAAACCAATTTTTATTAAAGGGAAAGATTGATAATCTAACAAAACAGCGGAGAGTAATAAGGATGAAACTCACTTCCCTCACCATGTCCTTCGTAGAGAAGTAAACCAGGATTTACGAGCCACCGTCCACCAACTCCTTATATCTCCATTATAAAAAGAGAAGCAAATAATGTTAAAGAAACAGGGGATGGAAAGTATATGAATGGAGCAGGATTAAGAGGATGGACTAGGAAGGTAGTGGTGGGAGGTCGGTACAACTTCCTCCCTAGGTCAAGACATACATCATATCATGTCTATGTTTCAAAATTTATTTTCTTGTCTTTTATGTTGACATTGTGGAAGTAAATTAAAATAGCACTCGCCAGTGTTGTGCATAAAATTATGTGATGACATGCACTATATGACATATCTCACCATGACATTATCGAAACCTCTTTTCATTCATAGATCTTTTATAGTTCATGTTTGATAGTTACTGAGAAACATACATCCTATCTTCGTCCTTGTTTAGGTAAGTGGAATCTCGATAGTTTGTAATCCTAATAAACTCTTTTTTTGAAGTCTGATTTCTTGATTTATTTATCTTCTGACTTTTTCGCGACACCCTTTACCTGGAGAGACGTATAGAACTTGTGATATCGCCCATTGAGAGGTGTATTCTCCAGAGTAATAACTCGGCGCATGATTCTAGCGCTTCAGTGATCTCGCCCATTGAGAGGTGTATTCTCCAGAGTAATATCTCGGCGCATGATTCTAGCGCTTCAGTGATCGTTGTTATGTTCTCACGATCCTCGAGTGAAACCTCCTTTCATTGATAGATCTTTTGATAATATATTTCGTGTCAGATTCTACAATCCGACGATGTGATCCATCGCATGGCGAGCTCAGAATCGTTGAATCACCAAGAGAGTCTCGGCTGTTAATGTAAACCTTGTTTACTGCCAGCTTGAGAAGAAGGTGGACGGGCTGAATCCTTCAACGCCTTGCATCCAGAGCCTGATGAGGTCAAGATATCTCATCAGCTCCGGCTCGGGGCACGAATTTGCATCGTCAATATCTACGAGGAATCAAACTCAACCAGACGGACATGGACGAACAATCGAGCCTCTTACAGATTCCCCATGCGTATGCAGAATTACATACTGCAATGGACTCCGGAAATTGAAACCATTCTTCAGATGGTTCTCTCTGTCGATGGGCAGTTCGTTGTTAGTTTGAAGGCGTGAGTGAGCAACAATCCACATTATTGAATCAGATACTGGCGTGACTTAATTCAGAATATAATACAATAGAATAAAAGTGAAAGCTGATCATTCCGAGAACATGACTTCGGAGCATTTGCGGGGTGTAAACTTCGACAGATCACCGCCGCTGAACTATCCTGAACGCTTTTCATCGAGGAGCAAATGTAGGAGAGGAGGAAAAACAAAGTCCATGTCACTTTTCCTCCCTCCTCGCACACCGCACTCGCGGGCTGTACTTATCAGGACTCGAGGGCAATATGAGGTCTTTCTCCAGTGACGCTCTTTACGAGCGGATGCATGGATGGGATCATGGTCGTCACAACTGGAACAATGGTCAAAGCTGACCACCGAGTGATGGCAAGCTTTGAGGTCAAAGACTTTTTGTAAAATTTCTGTAGAAGATCCTGGGCACAAGGGACCTTACTTTTGCATACCGAGACGACGGCATGAGCTGTGAGTTGCATAAGCATAACCAATTTAAGAGGTACGCAGGTCGAGAGGATGATCAAGGCTGCACGGCCTTCAGTCAAGAGCTGCTTTCTGTAGACGAACGACTACAGGAAGCAATCGAGCTCGATTCGAATCCGCTGTAGAACATGACCCAGTCATTGATCTGAGCAGTACCTGCCCCTTCTCCAAGACCAAATTACAGAATGCCTGTTCATCATAAGACCAGGAGTTCTGCAATAAGTTCCAAACCGTCACGATCTATCTAGTGATATACATCGGGGGCTTCCGCGGGATAATAATCAACAGCAACCCTGCTCGTTACGGGAGTCACGGAATTTGAAATGTGTGCCTTCTGGCCTAGAACTTGGTGCCAACAGAGCCTCAAAGGTCTGACTACGCCTAAAAGCCACGAAAGAAAGCTCGAGAGTCTTCAGCATGAACCGAATCTGACGTCGGTCTCGGACCATGAACAGGTGTAATGTCAAAAACATGCTTAGCCTAACAAATCGCCTGAAATCGTTCCAACTTCTGCGATCCGAAATTCGTAGTGGTCCAGTTGATGGAGGAGTAGATTCACTTCCGACCAGTACGTCCGATTTTAGCATTGTCTACTCAGCCTCTGCGGGTTGCTGCTGCTCTTCTGAAGAAGTGTGCGGGATCTGTTTGGCCCTAGGATGGCTGGTGAAAGCGAGCACAGGCGCAATCAAACTGTGGCAGCTGCGCTCGCTGCCGAAAATCTTCCAGCTTAGGCTTCCGAGAGACCACGGCCACGGACCGCTGCAAGCGTCAGTCAGAGCCATGGCAGCACCCGCACGGAGTCCGGCATTGACTAAATCCACCGCCTCCTGTCTTCTTCGCCGAGTCCAGCGACCACTGGAGCAGAGCACTCCTCCTGGTCGAAAATCGAAAACAGGAAAGAGCCCTGCTCTGCTGCGCGAAATCCTCTGCTCTCCCTTTCTCATTCTCTCGATCCGTCTCTGTTTTCCTCCCGTCCACGTTCATCTTCGTTTCGCTGAAAAGCTCCTCGAGAGCTGCATGAGTTGGACCGAGCACAATAGATGATTTCTCCCGATTCGCTCCGATTTCTCCCCTCCCTCCCTCTGATGCTGCGGCTAATCGGGGATATGGGACGATGGAGATTTACTGTTGTATATACATTCACTGCTAAGCTTACGGCGAGGTTCCTGAAAGCTTCGTCAGCACTGCCTCGCGTGCCACAATTGCCTGCCTGCGTGCGTCCGCATCGGCGAACCGAATGTCGTCGGCAAAAACCTATCTCACGGACGTGAAAGCTGCGCAAATTCCTCCCTCGATGTCGATTCGAGATCTACAAAAATGGAAATCTGGAGATTCGGGAAGAGGATGTGATGGATGATGTACAGCTAGCGCAGCAAAGGGGCATTGGACATATTAGCGGGGAAGGAGTCGGCGTGGTCGTGGCTGCTGCTGGTGGTGGTAGCGGTCGAGGCGGGTTCCGCTGCTTCGCCCGTCCTACGATAAGAGCGGTCGCTGCCGAAATCGATGAAGAACGAATCGGCATCGGCTTTCCAGCCCAGAGCTTGAGTGGGCTTGCGAACCAGGCGCTCGGTCATCTCCAGCTCCTGCTGCAGAGAGGCCGGGAGCTCGGATGGAACTTTGACGCCCTCGATCATGCGGAACACGGCGCTCATGTCGGGGCGGTCGTCGGGATCGCGCTGCAAGCACAGCAGCGCGATGGTGATCAGCTCCTTGGCTTGGATCGAGTTGAAATTGCCTTCGAGCCTCGGATCCACCACGTCGATCTCCAGATGCACCATGACGCGCCGGATCGCCCAGGCCGGCAGGAAGAAGCGATCGTCGGCGAACGAGTGGTCCAAGTGCCGGCGCCCGGCCACCAGCTCCAGCAGCACGATTCCGAAGCTGTACACGTCCATCTTCGTGGTGGCAGCGCCGGCGTACACCTCGGGCGCCATGTACCCGAATGTGCCTCCGGACGCGATGGTGTGAGTCCTCGTCTGCCCGATCAGCTTGGCCATGCCGAAGTCCGCCACCTTGGGCACGAACTGCTCGTTCAGCAGAATGTTCTCGGGCTTGATGTCCAGATGAATTATGGCCTGCCCGATTTGCAGCTCCCCGTGCAAATAGCTCAGGCCCTTGGCCGTGCCTCGCGCGATTTCCACCCTCGTCTGCCATGGCAATCGCCGCTCCTGGCAGAAAATCCACTTATCCAGCGACCCATTGGGGACGTACTCGTACACGAGGAAAGGTTGGTGGCTGCGCACGCTGAATCCGCGCAGCGCCACCAGATTCGCGTGGTTGATGCTGCCCAGCGTCTTCATCTCCGCCTCGAAGTCCTTGGCGCCGCGCTGGCTGTCGACCAGCTTCTTCACCGCGATTTCGCTCCCGTCCTTGAGCGTGCCCTTGTACACGATCCCGTAAGCGCCGCGGCCGAGCTCCTCGCAGAATCCATTCGTGGCTTCGTTCAGCGCTTCGTACGTGTAGCGCATGCCCATGACTTTGCCCGCGAGCGAGTCGCCGATCGATGGCAGGCTGAGCTCGAAGTCGTCCGACGGGGGCTCCGTCGGAGAAGGCTTGGCTTGCGCCAGCTTGCGCCGCCTGCGCGCTAGCACGTAGAACAGCAGCGCCAGGAAGAGCACGAACGCGCTCCCGAAGGCGATTCCGATGATGGCGCCCGCGCTCAGGCCCGTCGAGCTCGTCGAGGTGCACGCCCCGAACTGGCATCCGGCGCCGCAGTACTCCACCGTGGTCCCGCAAAAGCCCGCCGAGCTGCAGCAGTAGCCTTCCTGGCACGGCCTCCCGACCTCGCAGCTCCCCTGCGCCGGGCTGCTCTCGGGCGAGACGCCGCAGACGCCATAGCTCGCCTGGCACCCGGTTCCGCAGTACTCCGCCGTGCTCCCGCAGAAGTTCGCCGAGCTGCAGCACAGCGAGTTGGCGCAAGTCGCGTTGTCCGCCGTCGATCCGCAGCCGCCCTGCGCTCGGCCGAGCTCGAGCGAGGCGGCCAGCACAATCCACACCACGGCGAGTCCCACGCTGCGGCGCTTGCCGCCGCCCTCCGAGCAATCCATCATCGCCCCGGAGCTCGAATCGAGCAGACGGCACCCACGAGAGTCTCTGTCCGCCTCGTTTGCAATGGAGTGACAGAAAACACCCCGTCTCTTATCTTCGGGGAGAGATTTAAATGCGCGGCATGCGCGCCTGGGATTGGGATTGGGATTGGAGAGAGAAGAGGAGCTCAATCAAGCTACCTGCGAAGACGAGTGATGGCTTGGGCTCGGGACGAGAATGTTGCGCCTTACCCGGGACCTTGTGGCAGTGACAGTGTGCGGTTCTGAGCACATGACGACGAGTGTGATGAACCCCGAGCTCTCACAAGGAGGTGCGCTCGACGAGCGGCGATAGATGAGGGCGAGAGAGGATGGAAGAAGAAGCCGCAAGAATCAACGAACGCGGAGACGAGACCGCATCCTCCATCGGCGGCGCGTCAAAGAGCGCGAGACGCGACGCGGAAAGACGGAACGCTTTCCGCCATTTTTACACTGTCCAACGGAGAACCCTCGCGCTCTCGAAGGTTGTTGGTGGAAGGAAGGATAAAGGCAGGAAGGACCGAGGGACGCAGGGACGCAAGGGTCACGGCTTGACTGACTGCGGTCCCAACTTCTTCCCTCGCCGTCCTCGCTGCTGGATCGTCACAGCGCAACAGATCCCCACAGATCCCCACAGTGCACCACAGCTGCCGCCACAGCGCAGCGCATCAGAGCACGCCAGTCCAGAAGCGAAGCGCGAGCGAGGCCAGCCATCCAGCCATCCGGTCCACGCTTCTCTCTGCGACGTCGCGGCGAATGTTCAGTCTGCCGATGCGGATTTGACTCCTTAACAGCAGGAACTGGTCGAGCTGCTGCTGCTGCTGCTCGGACTGGTCGAGCGCTCTTTCTTCTCGCTTGCGTCGCTCCGACTCCGACTCCGACTCCGACTTCTTCTCGAGACAGGACTCGCGAGAGGGATCTGCCAGATCGTCGGCGGGTGATGGCTTCAGCTGGAAAGCTGACGTGACCAGAAGAGCCAAAGCCGAGCCTCGCAACCGAAATCCTCCCGGCCAGTTTGGTGTGGTCGAACAAAACAGGTCGATTTTCCCTTGGCCGACTCGAGATTCCCCGACACTTCCCCGTCCTGGCTCTCTGGCTCAGGCTGTCTGTAAAGGAAACGGAGAAACCGATCAGCATCAGCGGGAGGGAGAGAGGGAGGGAGGGGAGGGACTGATGAATGATCGAGCGACCAGAGCCCGTACAGAACCCACCAGCCCGCGAGACTGTAGTGGCTGGCCAGGCCAGCCAGCGCTTGCCTTGCAAATTGCTGACCGGCGGACACACTTGACGATGGGGGCAGCAAAAGGTTTTTTCGGCTGAGTGGGTTGGACTATAGAGCCTATGGAGACGAGCAAAGTAGGTGGATCCCGCCTCGGTTCCGCTTTAGATTGGCTGAGCTCATCTGAGCTTGGACTTGGGGATGTGTGGGATGATCCATTGATTGGACGTCAAGTCTGTATGTATGTAAGCCCTGTATCGTCGTCAGGTATACTGATCTGATATTCATTAGGCCTTCAATCAATCTGCGGTCAACGAACCGGTCTTCGCCCCTCCTTAGCATGGAGCTCCCTCTCTGCGTCGCTCCCTCGCTTGCTCCACGATGTACACATGGGCCCGGTGCCGCCGATCTGACCGAACCGCCAAACGAGGGGCGAGTATTTCATCGAACAGCATCTGGCGATCAGAGGACCCTCCCCTCGGTCTCTCGGGTGATTGCCACTGTGAAGCCGTGGGCATGAGGCCGAGGAGGGAGTAATGGGCGAGGTCCGTCCGTGGAGCGCACATGTCTTCTTCTGCTTAAACGCAGCGCCCTCCTAGTCTCCTAGGCTTACGTCTACCGAGAGTAGCATCTGATGATCTGCCAAGCGAGCGTTTTGTCAAGGCGAGCTGCGCAAGTGACAGGCATATTTCTCTCGTAAGGTATCTGGGAGAGTGTCAGCTCATCCTTCATCACTCTTGTCAGGTGAACCAAAAGCACGAGTTCCTAGGCTGGCACGACCATTTCTAGCAGTACAGTATCGCCATCTGTATACGGAGACGGTCCCGGCTTTCCTACTTCTATCTACGGCTCCTCTGCTGGAGTTTCTCTGCTTCGAGCAAGGCCTCACTACATAAAGTAGAGATCTCACTTTTGTCCAGTACTTATACTCCAAAGGAGATTGCAATCTCACCATTATGATGTTTTGTACACAACCTCAATTTAGCGTTCTACACTGTACTGTGACTTTTGGACGTGGTTGTGACGAGCGGCCGTCGTAGTCGTTCGGCGGGCCGGACTGGCCCAGGAGTCCATGAGCCAGGGTCCAGTACGTTCGTATAAGAAAGATCCTCCAGAAGATAATGTGTACAGTACAGTACTCTTGGTGGCTACATGCATGCCGATCTAGTACTATGGCGCAGATCTGTCTATGGACACGTCTGTTCGTTCGTTCGTAGGCCCCTCCTGAACCTCAACAACCTGCGTACTGGAGTTGGCGGAATGTTGGCGATACAGAACTCTTGTGGTGGACTTTGCACCCTCGCGTCTACCCCGGGGCATCGAGTTTCTACCCCATTCTCGTTTGTGAGAGAGGGGAAGAATTAGAACGTAACCCTCCCTCTCTCGGAGAAGGGGGAAATCTGTGAAATCGCTCCTCATGATCTTACCCTCTGCCTGCTGCTATCATGACTTGTGGAGACCATATGGTCATACTCGAGGGAATTGGTGATGGAGGTGGTAAAGCTATCCATTAGTCAATGCTGGGGTAAGTGTTTCGACGATTGAACTACCTGGATCATTTTAATCGTCCCGATGAGTATCTAAGCGGATACTCTGGCCCCTCCTAATTTGGGTAGAGAGTTTTCGGCTCTGGGGTACATTGAACTTCGACGCGAAGACTGTAAACTCTAATTTTTTCCACGTGACACTGACTAAACGTGCATGTGCAGTTCGGCTGGAGAGTAAGAACGGCACATGCACGGGGGACAGTCAACAGAGCTTTACGACGATGAACGGGCTCGAATGATAACAAGGATAACAAGCAGGTGGACCCCGTCGGATGCGTCACTAGGAAACATGAGTTGTGTGCAGAAGGCCAGGATTCAGTTCTTCGAGTCACTAAGAAGCCTGCCTTCGGTCGCAATGGTAGCGATAATGTACACATGTTCACGTAACGTTGAGAATGGGCTCCCTGTTGAGCCGGCACACGTGCTAGATTTGAGATTTCTGAACATTTATTACCATTATCTTTTCCTCCGTAGTACAACTTCTGGCTCAAGCGTTGGGAACCAAATTTCCATCATTTCTTGTAACCAAAGCGCCAGGTCCCACGCCACACTTCAACTAAATTTCTCACTCGATGCAGTCAGGCGTCTCGTACGTCATACACCAAATTGACCTGATCTGACCTCCTTAGCCGCACCGTCAAGTGAAGAAAGTACAGCTGAATTTGGGAAACTAACGAGTCGGACAGCTGCCGACTGCCGAGGGCTGCTTCCAGTGGTAACCCTATACGTTAACCTTCCTTCGCTATACCGAGTGAAGTACAGAGTATATCAATTTTTTATGGTGTTCTAGCACTCCACTTGTGGCTTCTAGATAGGTAAGATCATAGAGACAGTCAAATGGACCGAGTAAAACTTTCAGCGAACCAGTGGGGAGGTTTAGATGATGCCGTATCGGATATGGATAATTACTCTTGCTCTGGAGCGCAGATAAATCTCTGGTGCCTCCAGCTCAGTCAACCAGTCAGGGGAATGAAGCAGAAGCGAAAGACGAGGGAAAGCGAAAGACTCTGACTCTGGATCTGGATCCCGTGGTGGCAGAGGAGTGGCCTTCTTGACTTGAGCGGTCGGACGATTAGGCAACGACGCGAGAAGTAGCTGTGGAGTCGCTAGGGCTTTGTTGACCCACGCAGAATCCTCTCGACCAGGCCTCTCGATCGTCTTCCACACAAGAGAGAGAGACATGTCACATCTCGAGTCAAGTCTGGACCCAGCCGTCGGCATAAGAGTGCAATCGATTTCAGCGGTGTAGAATCTCTATCCGAAATCGGATCCACTCTCTCGCACTCTTCGAAAGCCCAGCAGGCACGTCCAATTCACAAGCCGGCAGTAAAGAATGATCGACAAACCTCCGACCGCACACCAGCTTCAGCAGAAGCATGCCGAGGCGGTGAATGTCGGCCTCGGTAGTCGCCGCCCCTGACTATGTCCCGCCCCCAAAGTGCCACCTGCACCTGCACCTGCACCTCGCCGATCGACCTCGCCCTTGCCGAAATCCGACACCTCGGGTGCCAAGGTCTCGTCCCGAAGTATGATCTAGGTCCTCACGACCAGATCATGAATGATGACCTGTAGGCTTGGCCACGGTCAGGTAACCGGACTCCGGTTAACGCTTAACCGGTTCAGAAGAAAAAGTGGACCGGTTAACCGGTCCATTTTTTAGGAGCAGATTCTTTCCAAAATTTCAAATATTTTTCCGCAATGATAGTATGTGGTGCTTGAAGCTAGTTTGGCAGAAAGTGGATGATTGATTACGCCAAAATTATGAGGAAACCAACTGGCCCCCAGCATTGCTGACCTCTCCTTTTATTCGAGAGGCGTTTTGTTCTCGCATGGAACGGAGTCCAGAACGATCCTTTCATCTTGGGTTTTAGCAGACTATGCACACATTAGGATAGCGACAGTTGTCTCCGGCTGGGTTGTTTATCCACATTTCTTGGTACCAAAAAATGCAGAAAATGTACCAAAAATATGTACCTTTCCCTGGGACCGGTTAACCGGGTAACCGCCAGTCCGGAAAGGACCGTGGCCAAGCCTAATGACCTGCCGACCTGAGGATCTGTTCTCAGTCCGCAAGATCCACTTATCCATAGGGCCGCACGAGAGCCTCCCTCCCTCAGCGTGACTGAGTCGGCGCGATTGATCCTCCCCAGAGATCTAGTCTCGGCTTCGAAATCCTCGAGCCAATCCCTCGACCGAAAATTGAGCGCCCAGAAAATTATGGCTGTCGGAGAGAGCTTGTGCATCAAAGGGGCGGCGGAAGGGGGCCTGGTCGCCGTTCCCTGTCGGAGATCGTATAGTGTGAGAGTCGCTATTCCGCTCGACGCGCCTGCTCCTTCTACAACGTACGCAAGTGCCCCACCCGCCAACCCCACCCCCACCCGCCGGGGGCGTGACAGACAGCCTGAGATGGCCCCGGCCCCGGGCTCGGGCTCGGGCTTGAGGCGCCACCTGGAGGTGCTCCCAGGCAACGTTCCTCGCGGAACTCAGAGCTCGATCCGCACAGCCCCACAGGAACTGAACTGATCTGAACTGCGGCTGACGCCTTGCCGACGCGGTTCATTTCTGCCTCCGACTACGACTACTACTACTACGTAGGTCAACCTCACTCGACGACGTTGGTTTCGCAGTTGCCATGGCGCCGGCTCCCGGTGCATGTACTGTCTGCAGCTCATCGAGCTCTTCGCGCAGCCCCACCGACACCGAGATGGTGCCACGCTGCTCGGATTCGATCGATCCATCAGCAATTCATTCATAATGTGGCTCCGTAGCGGATGCCCGGATTCCTTGCGCTCAGACATTCTGGCCGCAGATGCTCTGGTATCCTTTCCTGTGACGGGGGAACATAACTCGTCACAAGCTCGAGACAACCGAATTCTGTTGAAATGTACACTGCGTTTGCAGTTTGTCCTCTGAATACGGCCAGACTATGACGCTCGTCGCATCGCATCCGATGAGCTTTACTCTGAACTTCGGAGCTGCCAGATTAGGCAGTCGGTTGGTCTGCTGGGTTGCAAACCTTGTCGAAGCAACGAAAATAACGACCTCTAGCTTGGGATGTCTGCTCGGAATCTTAGAAGACCCTCTCTGCAGCTTTGGTTGGCAATTCAGATACGTCGGAACTCTCTGATGGAAAGCGTAGAGCGTTGTCATCGGTCACAGAACATCCCGCAATGAAGTCGGAGAAACAACTGAGGTGTAGAGGCAATTGGCGCAGCTGGAAAAGCAGCCCCATGAATTTGGATGAAAGTTCTGTTTAGCATTGCTGTAAGAAATCTCCACTGATGGGGCTTCTGATCCTCCTCACATGTTCACTTACAGAGCCAAACAGATGTAGAGAAAGGAATACACTGACGATATCCGAAAACGTGCGTTGACTTCAGATTGAGGTGTGGTTTGTGTCGGATGTGGGAAGAGAAGGTTACATTTGATCAACAACGATCAGACTCAGCGATATGGCAACCATCATGAAAGATCGATCTGTCATGACCCGAGATTGTGGAACGTATCTCGTGATTCTCCTCGACAGGAGTCAATCATTGTCTCCCAAATCCCACAGAACACACGAAACGCATCTATTCAGTATAGTCTTATCCACATGTTCCACAGCCTACATTGAACGTGGGTATCCGCCGATGCCTCCTATCATGATCGATCGACCACACAGATAAACCCTGCCACCCAAGAACTATTCGAACCGATTACCTGCAATACTCTTTGTTCAATATTCAGTACAGAAAACTTATGCATATGAGCATCCACTTATTCATTACGCGTGAACACAGAGCGCACATTCAAATCCTGCTTCCAGTTCTAAATGTCCCCAACAAGTTTTGCTCAATACTGAATTTTTTTTTAGTATTTCCTGCGGAGATCAGTGACGTACACGCAGGGCCGCCATCGACATAGTACAGGAATTTGCACCAACACCTTCTTCACCACTAACAGTACCACCGACGGTGCGTGCTGCTGTGCTTGGTCCAGTGACGCCGGATGACTTACAGATGGTGTGTAATGATGGTCAGAAAATTCCAGATCTACAGCGAAGAATCGAAGTCCTAGACCTTAACAGTGAGACACAGAGCATCGCTCTGTGTTTCACTGTTAGCCAAAGTAAACGTGAGATTCCGTCACATCGTCGATTTTCAAGAGCCAACGAGTTCCTTTTGGTCGCAGTCATGACTGGACTTAGCCGACGTGTCAACAAAGAGATGAATTTTATTACATAAGAATGAGTTGATCCAGTCCAATCGGGCCGTCACTTGTACAATAGTGAAATAGAGCTTCGCCAAGGAAGGGCTTCAGATCCTGAGTTCAATCTTAGGAGGCTACATATGATGCACACGAACAGGGCCAGATTAAAACACGCATATCTCTCCTGCTACGGCAGGATTCAGATGTGCATCACATTTGGGTACGGACGGTAAACGACACAGATTCAGTCGGGCCCGACTCGGGTTTTCTCAAGCACAGCGTTGCAGAAGTTCTATACTAAATTCCATCACAAAGCTCAGGAGAAAACATCGATGAAAAATCCAATTATGAGTCAAAAAGCCACCTCACCTCGGACAACAGGAGAGATTACCAACTTGACTCGGTGAAATGAGACAGCATGATCACCTGATTTTGAGACCAAGTGATTCTCGATGAATCCATGGTGGCCTTTGCTGAACATAATTTGACAGGAGGGGAACCAGGTACTATGGAGAGAAGGATAAGCAATATCCTGCCACGCCACATAGGGATGAAATAAGGGGATTGGCTACATCAGCATCAGCATGTGAAAATAATATTATTGCAACTACTATATCCATACTATCTGGGTGTACAAACAACACCAGCATCCCAGCCTTCAAGGAATCATAACCAACATGATTGGTGTCACAGAATATCACCCGCTTTCCTGTTAGATAGTTCCAGTGCCTTATGTAAAAGGGCATATGAACCATGAGCCTCTATAATGACATATAGAAAAAAGATACCCATGACGGCTGAAGTATATCCATTATATGTTTTTGCATCCATACAAAGAGTAGACATATTTGCATCCTCTTGTATTTCGATACCGTGTCTGCTGCATTCTACACATTACCTGTGGATGAACATGTGTAATCATTTTCTTTGAAATGTTATCATCTGTAATATTTTGTAAATATCTCATATTTTCAAATTTACATGGACATACTAACCAAATATAATCTACCATATTTCTACTCTCACGTGAAATACGAAATACCACATGTATTACAGTATATTTAAAAAAATTCTCTCATGAGAGAGTACTAGCTCTCTCTCTCTCTTTTTCTTTCTATATATATATAATAAAATATATCTTGGAAGACATTTTTCCAGTCTTATAGTGAGAGCTTTACTTGTAACAAAAGGAGCGCTAGTGGTAGACATGAGAGTCTATTTCGAGCGCCATGACCTTGTGGCAAATCTTGGTGACTGCTTGAGGCTGTCCTAACCTTTATCATGTTCACCGTTCGGTCCCAAGCAGCTGCGATGGAGTCACATCTGATCTCTTTAAACAGTTGCTCTTTCTCCGAAGAAATACATATCGATGCTTGAATATGGACTCTCCGCTCCTCTCATTATTTATTTGTCTGTGACCGGATCAACTTAAATCAATGGCTCGCATGGCACATCCATGATTGCGATGTATACACT